CTTCGTTTGTTTACGTATAAAGTCGGAATTCTAATAATAGCGAATATCCCCGGTCACGTGGTAGTATTCCCCAAGAAAATGACGTAATTTCCGCAGATATCTAACATGGCGTCTTACAGCGTGATACGCTCGGTCGATTCAAAAAAAGTGTAAAAAGATGCAGAAAACTCAAGTATTCCGACTTTATTATAGAACATAACAATAGTGCAGGTAACCAGTATTACGTGTCAACCAAACCAGCTCTACAAGACATCAACTCTTCCTAAATCGGTTGATAATGAGGGTTGGAAAGAGGGAAGAAGAATCGTTGAGTTTGGCGTGTTACGGTCAAACCTAAGATTTTGTAAAAAATGTAGACTTGGACCAGTTGGCTACCATTTACAGCACTGATTAACTTTTGACAACATGTTAGGTGAATTTAAACAGGGAGTGTCTGGTTATTTGTATGTGAAATGTCGAAACACAGAATGCGGTCATGTGAATTGTGTTCCCTATGGAAAAACACACAGACTAGTAGATTGAAGACCTGTGAAAGTTGGAATGCCATGTTTCGTTGTCAACACAAAATTAGGAACAGGTAAGTGATTAATGTATTGCATCATAGTTTACATTAAGTACTATATACTGATAATGAATTCATAGATGTAAGTAGTTCTGGCTTCCAAAACTTTATAAGCCGCTTTTTAACATTTTTGTTTTTCATCAGATGCGGCATTAAAGTTTTGGATTAGACCCGTTACGAAACCTAACCAGAATAACCTAAGTTGATTTATTATTGTTTTTCACTTGCAAATACACTCGACCCGATCAATTCTTGTGCATTTTACGGTAAAACAATTATTTAAATATCGCTCTATACCAATTCAAGTAATAAAATATTAATACCGTCATTAAAATTGCCTATTTAACTGTAAAACATCAATTTTCGCCGACTACAGTCGGCCATGACATTCAAGTGTCACGCGACACCTCGTATGACGTCATTCGCGGGAACAGATTTGAATAGAGTTGTGTACTATATTTAGAACATTTTGTTGACATGATTTCGATATTTTTATTCAAGATAATGTTTATTTTTATTTTCTTAAATTTTTTAGTATTTAAATATGATTTTATTGAATATAACAGTCAGTAAATAACCTTTTTCAACATCTTAAAAAAAAGTAATCTATAAAAATATTGGAGGCACATGGGTTCATAAAATTAAAGGTCAATCTCGTAATCACGTGGTCAAACATTTTGGCAATATGGCGGCCAAGTGCCGAAATTTTTACCTGTCGGAAACCATTAGGTAGTTTATGTTCCTAATAAGATTTTTATTTGTCCATCCTTGGCTTATCAACAGATTATATATTGCTTTATCAAGGTATGCTTCACTTTACTTCGTGGCATGTTCGATAAATAAATACGAGCGTGTCAGATTCCTGGCACGATTATTGGTGGACTTTCCCTACGGGGTTATCTTCAGCGTTCACGTCATGTCATATATATAAACGGGTACGCTGAAGACCTTAAGCTAAGATGTAAGGTCTCGTACCAAAATGAATATATCGATACATTATGATTTATCAATGTTTATTTACTTGTCTTCCAATGATGTCAAACATGTAAAATTATGCGGACCAAATTTATGTTGGCAATATCCGGTTATCTGCCCCCCGGGGCAGAAACATTCTTATCTGTATTTTTATGACAGTCGTGTGGTCAGCCCTACTGATCTGGATCTTTCAGGCGCTTAAAAAATATCACACCCGCATGCGCAAAAAAATAAAATATTTACCTACCATGCGCTTGCGTAGTTAGCTGTGAAAGAACAAACATCTAGCAAGGGGTTCATAACAGGTTTTTACATAATAAATATCCTCTACGGAATGAACTCCTACATTTAGACAGCTAAAATCACTTCAGTATATCATTCATTCCGTAAAAAATAACTGATTTATAAATAATTAATTTATTATACAGAATACATGTATCTTGTTTGTGTTTAGCTGTAAAACACTACTCCTTATTGTGAAAGAAGTGGCTACTGGTTGGGGACCACCAAAACCGGACAACCACCAAACCCGGACGGCTCCAAAAATGCTTAATTTTCTATATTCAGTGGTTGTCAGTTACTTTTTATCAACAATAAATGAATGTTTCTTCTAAAATTAAGTAAATAAATTTATTTCAACCTCCGTAAATGGTAATATTTTAATGTCTATTTCAAGAATGTTGACGTTGAAATTTGGGGGTCAAGAGGGCAATGCCTGACCTCATATACCAACTATAATCATTTGCAGAGTAAACAATAGAATATCCAAAACTTCAGGATTTGTTGCTGAAATATTGTATAACCAGGGCTCATCCTGGGGGGAAATTTTAGGGAGAAGTGACTTCCTCGCGAAAATTAGGGAGAAGGGAAACAACCCAATGTGTATGCATTAACATGCATGGCTATACATCCTTTAATTATAATATAAACACAATTAACATCACTTATAATATTTCTCCAGTTTATTAATTAATAGTAGATTAATAAATAGTAGTATTAATTAAAAGTAGATTAATTAGTAGTAGATCTGGCAATGGCATCTAAATGTTTTTTGAGCTGCAAATATGAATATAAAAAATTATTTTTGATATCTATTGATCAGCTATTTTACAAGCTTTCTCTAAATATGTGTTTATATATTTTCATGTACATTTGTTGATAATAATGTGTAAGAAAAGATATGATGATAAAATCAATTTCATATTTTTTTACTTTCCTCACTTTTTACTAGAAGATGAAGTCACATTGGATATTGATTAATAATGTCTGTTCTATTCTGTTCTGGAAACAGAAATTTCTTTCAAAGGCCTGAAAGTTGTAATGTCACATTTATATGCATATAATTATGCTTATAAAACAATTTTCAAACATCAAAGAATATGTAAAATATGTACTGCAAACATTTGTGCACATTATATTTGATCACTAAAATTACATACATTCATTTCTTTTTGAAAACTTTGACTGAGAAATTGTAGAAAATTAATTTCTAATTACCTCCCTTTATTTTCATGAAATGTTAAATTCGGTAACATCTTTATAAATAATGCTTTTTAAAATTTACAATATTGATAAATCTTAATCTGAGCGTCATATTTACGACATTAAAACAAATATATATATTGAAACAATAAGAACACTTCTTTCCTGACAAATTTTGTTGTTATATTATATGATATACGACCGATATGTAGTTTAGCCGGGATGTCTTGCCCACGTGCGTAAACTGTGTCAAATTTGGCATTTCTACAAAGAGAACAATGCCAAACACCGCACTGTCTACAACATACCAATCGCAAGATTTTTGCGAATTGGCTTTCTTAAATTTTCGCGTAGGTGTAACTATCAGAATCAGTAACTTTCTTACTGCTCGGTTTCGGCATTTCGCCTTGTAGCCATGACGTAAGCGACATAACAATTTTACAGTAAAAATTGATGTTAACAGACTGAAATCATTCAAAACTATGATTAAGTTTTTAATCAGGTCGCTGATCATTAATGAAATTGATTATTTTTAATTGACCAACAGTTTTGTGATAGCCGTGAAAAATCCATTGCACATCGCCTTTACCCAGGTTAAAAACCCACCATCGAAGTGCATCGTGTATATCAATTAGGGAAGATTGCACGTGTTTAGATAATCGGGAAAAACAATGTATAATTATCGCCAAATCCCGTATTAAACTCGCAAAACTATCACACAATTATACCGTTTAGGGCCGATGCTCTCATTATTTACTGTTTAGAGTAGGCGGTCTATCGCTTCGCTTACAGGTAGAAGGGTAGTGTAAAGCGACGCTCTGATTGGATAATGATAATTAGCGGTCGTCATATGGGCGGATACAATCTCTGCTCTTTACATCGCTAAGTAATTACTATTTGGGAATTAAGATTTTATCGGCGATGTTGACTTCTCTTTGATCAATCGGAAGAGCGAAATTGGAATATACACGGCGAAGTTTTCGCCTGAATCGCCCTTCCGGATGAGCCCTGATAACATGTTGAAAATCAAAAATTAAAACAGCCAAGCTTTTATCTGAATTAAATCACATCATGTACATATCTGTCCGGACACATGGTACTGTAGTGTAGACATTTTAGGTAATTTTTATACCCACGTTTTCGAGCCTCAGATATAAGTGTAAATACAATCAGAAATAAACAAACTAGTTTGTTAGTTAGGAGAAGAACCTAGCTGAACTGTCTCAAATTTTTAGGTCTTTAGGTTAAAAATTATGAAATCTGTACGGAAAAATGTTTAAAAAGTGTCCGGTTGATGGTCCCCGACCAGTAGCCATACGGCTAGCCAAAAGTTCTAGCCGTACGTGACTCACATACTCCATATAATTTTGAAAAGTGCCGTACGGCTAGCCAATACAGTGTGTCCTGGCTAGTCGTACGTGACTCACGTATGGCTAGAACTTTTGGCTAGCCGTACGGGCCCGTACGGCTAGCCACTTCCTATTGTGAAATGTTTTATAAACTTCCCTCTGAACTGTTTTAATTTCCCCAAAGTCACTGAGAAATTTGAAAAACAAATGATAAAACGTTGCTAAATTAAATCTTGCAACAATGCAATTTTTAGTAAGACATTACAGAATCCTACATGTACATTATATAAAAGACACAGTTTACACTAGAATGCCAATACACACAGTCACAGTACTAATATTCAAGGTACATGAGGCAGCTAAATATAGCTCTATATTAATTTATGCAATGTGTTATTATCACGGTTATGTAAATTACAATCCATGTGAAGTTTTTTTTGACAAAATATTTGTATACTTTAATGAAATAATTTGTTTCTTTCATTTTCTTACAGCAATGATTGATAGTGTAGGTGGGCCGGTGAGGGTCAACAATTTGTTGTCAACACTAAATATACCAACAATTGGAAATAAAAACATGAAAAGAAATGGAGATACGTGTTGGAAATATCATTGAGACAGCACTGGCTTCTATGCCGACAGAATCTGCTGCATAAGATCAAGGAAATGGAGTAAGACACATTTACATTTACAATGATATTTTCAAAATAACATGTACTTGAATTGAAAGAATTTCAAAAATTATTTTGTAATTATATGTCTATGCAGCTTATCATGGTATAATGATAATCCTATATTGCTGGCACACTCGTGGTTTAGGGAACCAAAGAATATTATACAATCCATATATGAGAAAAGAATTTTTAAACAATGGCTTTGTTGTTTTTGCATGTTACTCTATATTCATGTACATATTTCTTTTTTCAAAATAACATGAATGTGTAATTGTTTTTTAGCTCACCTGAGCTTGCTCAGGGTGAGCTTTTAGGATCGGTGAATGTCCGTCGTCCGTCGTCCGTCGTCCGTCTGGCCGTCCACAATTACTTGTGAACACTCTAGCGGTCGCATTTTTGCCTCAATCATCATCAAACTTGGTCAGGATGCTTATCTAGTTGAAAGCTCGGATGAGTTCGAACATGGGTCATCTCGGATGAAAAACTAGGTCACAAGAGCTAAAAATAGAAAAACCTTGTGAACACTCTAGAGGTCACATTTTTGACCCAATCATCATCAAACTTGGTCAGGATGTTTGTCTAGGTGATAGCTTGGATGAGTTCGAACATGGGTCATCTCGGATGAAAAAGTAGGTCACAGGAGCTATAAATAGAAAAACCTTGTGAACACTCTAGTGGTCACATTTTTGAACCAATCATCATCAAACTTGGTCAGAATGCTTGTCTAGTCAATTGCTTGGATGAGTTCGAACATGGGTCATCTCTGATGAAAAACTAGGTCACAGGAGCTAAAAAATAGAAAAAACCTTGTGAACACTCTAGTGGTCACATTTTTTGACCCAATCATCATCAAACTTTGTCAGGATGCTTGTTTAGATAATAGCTCGGATGAGTTCGAATATGGGTCATCTCGGATGAAAAAACTAGGTCACCGGAGCTATAAATAGAAAAACTTGTGAACACTCTAGTGGTCACATTTTTGCATCAATCATCATCAAACTTGGTCAGGATGCTTATCTAGTTGATAGCTTGGATGAGTTCGAACATGGGTAATCTCGGATGAAAAAGTAGGTCACCAGAGCTAAAAATAGAAAAACCTTGTTAACACTTTAGCGGTCACATTTTTGCATCAATCATCATCAAACTTGATCAAGATGCTTGTCTAGGTGATAGCTCGGATGAGTTCGAACATGGGTCATCTCGGATGAAAAACTAGGTCACAGGAGCTAAAAATAGAAAAAACCTTGTTAACACTCTAGTGGTCACAATTTTGACTCAATTGTCATCAAACTTGGTCAGGAAACTTGTCTAGGTCATTGCTGGGAATAAATCGAACATGGACATTTCGGATGAAAAACTAGGTCACAGGAGCTAAAAATAGAAAAAATCTTGTTAACACTCTAGTGGCTACTGTTGTGATCCAAATATTCTGTTAATTGGTCTGAAAGTTTGTTTTGATGATTTCTAAGTCAAGATCGAACATGGGTCATCTTGGATGAAAAACTAGGTCACACCGCCCAAATATGGAAAAACCTTGTTAACATTCTAGTGGTCACATTTTCGACTCAATTATCATCAAACTTGGTCAGGATGTTTGTCTAGGTAATTGCTTTGATGAGTTCGAAATCGCATGTGAAACTAGGTCACCGGAGCTAAAAATAGAAAAATCTTGTTAACACTCTAGTTGCTACTGTTTTGATCCAAGTATCCTGGAAATTGGTCTGAAAGTTTGTTTTGATGATTTCTAGGTCAAGTTTGAATATGTGTCACCTGGGTAAAAAACTAGGTCGCACTGCTCAAATATGGATAATCCTTGTTAACACTGTAGTGGTCACATTTTTGACTCGCCTGTCATGAGACTTGGTCAGAATGCTTGTCTAGGTAATTGTTTGGATGAGTTTGATAATTCAGGTGAGCGATCTAGGGCCATCATGGCCCTCTTGTTTAAAAAAGTATTTATTTCTACATGACAAACTGGGTCCGTCTGGGCTCCTTGCCATTGGTACTTGTTGCTTGGTCATATGGGGGTTGCGTTCATTGAACGCCGCCTTTCCTTGTTGATCTTGTTTATCATATTTTACCTTCATTGGTTTAAGACTAAAATTCATATTAAATACATACATTCTTTTTAAGGGATGTGCATCATGAAGAATCAATTGTATCAGAACACAACATCATGGAAGATCTTATTGACAAGATCTCGGAGGATGTCCTTTGCCAGATGTTTGCCAGCACTAAAGTGAGTACTGGTAGTTTGTTTTCTGTATTTTGTTTATTTACGAAAGTAAAGGACTATGCAAAACTGACTGGTGTTGTTGAACTGTTTGTGTTATGTCAGTTGCTTCAATACATGAATATCTCTCCATATACTGTTTGTACATATGTATTTTTTTTTTTATTCAAGGTCTATTCATCAGTCAGATGCTACAGTTACAAATGACAGTGAATGGTCAGATTTATACAATTGTGATTAACAATCCTCAACAATACATCAAACAAAAATGCCTATTAAACTGTAAGTTGAAATCTATGAGTTTTTTTTATATATATTTATAATCATGGTGTAGCAATTAAATGATAATACTTTGATAATTTTGTAATGCTATTTGGGGTCGTCTTCAATAGAAACAATTTGATGTAACTTCATGTGATGAATAATCGATATGCAGTCCGAATTATTTCATAAAAGTGATTACTAAAATTGGTCAGGAAAAAGTCGTGCAATTAGCATTAATAATTAACATAACTTATTCTAGTAACTGTGTGAACATTGTGTTACATTAATTATAAATATGTTATTGTCAATTCATTGGTGTTCAATCTTCAATATTTGTCAATATTACGTTTAAAGATGAATTTTAAAATACAGAAAATATTTTTGAAATATATTTTTACAATTACAGTTCTCACAGACAGTCATAGGTTGAAAACAAATCAGAAGTGGTCCACATCTTAAAAAACCTCACAGCAGATTAAGACTTTCCCCGAAATTTCCCTGTAAAACCCGCAGTGGTATGTCCAGTGCAGTAGATACTGCCTGGCACAAAAGAGGATTTGACAGTTTTAACATGTAAGTAAAATAAGATTATTTTTATCCCCCCACAATGTGGGAGCATATAGCGTGGCACTTGTCAGTCTGCCCCAAAATCTTGTGAACGCAACTCCTCTTAAACCGGATGGCAGATTTTGCTTAAACTTCCAGGGATTAACAAACTTAATGTGTAGATGGTAGTAAAGGAAGGAATTTTGCTGCAACCAAATTTAACAGAATAATGGCCCTTTGTTGATTTTTAGTTTTCAACTTGTGGCACATGTAGTCCAAAAACTATTTGACCTAGAGTCATAAGATTGACAGAACAGTGGCGTGTGAGGGCATCCGTGTTTTATTGACACATTTCAAGTTTTTCTCAGTCATCATGTCAGTAATGATTTAGAATTTGTCAGAAAAGTATCTGTGTATATTTTAACCACTGTTATTGATGTATAATTGAAAAAAGTGAGTTTTGCATACAAGTAAGACTGGGTTAGTCAACATTGTTCTTTCAAACAGTGGCATTTAGAAGAAAAATCCTAATGGTTATTTGAATTACCCTGGTTTTAACTTTGAGTTCTGACCTAGCTGTCATGTTCACAGCATGGTTCATTTTTGTGTCGCCTCTACGGAGTAGTGGTAACATATAGGGATCATTTCTCCGTCGTCTTGTCTATCTGTCCGTCCGTCACAAAACTTGTCCGGACTACTCCTCATAAACTACTGGTGCAATTTCATCCAAACTTTACAGGAATGATCAGTACCAAGTCTAGTTGTGCATTTTGTCAGCATTTTCAGGTTCAATGATTTTTGTCAGAGTTATGGCCCTTTAATAATTTTTATTTTTAAAGTTTGTCTTGACTACTTCTCTTATACCACTAATGCAATTTCAATGAAACTTTACAGGGTTGATCTGTAGCTTAAGTCCTTGTGCATATTTCATGGGTTTTCCGGTTGAATGATTTTTGGCCGAGTTATGGCCCTTTGATAAAAAGGTGTTTTTTTTTCTGTGTGTTGCCAGATACACAAAAACTTGTCCTGACTACTCCTCATAAACTACTGGTGCAATTTCATCCAAACTTTACAGGAATGATCAGTACCAAGTCTAGTTGTGCATATTGTCAGCATTTTCCGGTTCAATGACTTTTGTCAGAGGTATGGCCCTTTTTTAGCTCACCTGTCACAAAGTGACAGGGTGAGCTTTTGTGATCGCTTTTCGTCCGGCGTCCGTCCGTCGTCCGTCCGTCCGTCCGTCCGTAAACTTTTACTTTAAATGACATCTCCTCATAAACCACTAAGCCAATTTCATCCAAACTTCACAGGAATGTTCCTTTGGTGGTCACCTTTAAAAATTGTTCAAAGAATTTAATTCCATGCAGAACTCTGGTTGCCATGGCAACCGAAAGAAAAAACTTTAAATATCTTCTTTTAAAAAACCATAAGAGCTAGAGCTTAGATATTTGGCATGAAACATCTTCTAGTGAGTGTCTACCAAGTTTGTTCAAATAAAAGCCCTGGGGTCAAAATTGGCCCCGCCCCGGGGGGTCATTGATTTTCCCTATATACATATAGTAAAAACTTAAAAAATCTTCTTTTAAAGAACCAAAAGAGCTACAGCTAAGATATTTAGCATGAAACATGTTCTAATGGGTGTCTACCAAGTTTGTTCAAATAAAAGCCCTGGGGTCAAAATTGGCCCCGCCCCAGGGGGGTCATTGATTTTCCCTATATGCATATAGTAAAAACTTAAAAAATCTTCTTTTAAAGAACTCAAAGAGCTATGGCTAAGATATTTAGCATCAAACATGTTCTAATAGGTGTCTACCAAGTTTGTTCAAATAAAAGCCCTGGGGTCAAAATTGGCCCCGCCCCAGGGGGGTCATTGATTTTCCCTATATGCATATAGTAAAAACTTAAAAAATCTTCTTTTAAAGAACCAAAAGAGTTAAAGCTAAGATATTTAGCATGAAACATGTTCTAATAAGTGTCTACCAAGTTTTGTTCAAAATAAAAGCCCTGGGGTCAAAATTGGCCCCGCCCCGGGGGGTCATTGATTTTCCCTATATGCATATAGTAAAAACTTTAGAAATCTTCTTTTAAAGAACCAAAAGAGCTAGAGCTAAGATATTTAGCATGAAACATGTTCTAATGGGTGTCTACCAAGTTTGTTCAAAATAAAAAGCCCTGGGGTCGAAATTGGCCCCACCCCAGGGGGTCATTGATTTTCCCTATATGCATATATAGTAAAAAACTTAAAAAATCTTCTTTTAAAGAACCAAAAGAGCTATGGCTAAGATATTGAGCATCAAACATGTTCTAATAGGTGTCTACCAAGTTTGTTCAAATAAAAGCCCTGGGGTCAAAATTGGCCCCACCCCAGGGGGTCATTGATTTTCCCTATATGCATATAGTAAAAACTTAAAAAATCTTCTTTTAAAGAACCAAAAGAGTTAAAGCTAACATATTTAGCATGAAACATGTTCTAATAAGTGTCTACCAAGTTTGTTAAAATAAATGCCTGGGGTCAAAATTGGCCCCGCCCGGGGGGATCATTGATTTTCCCTATATGCATATAGTAAAAACTTAAAAAATCTTCTTTTAAAGAACTCAAAGAGCTATGGCTAAGATATTGAGCATCAAACATGTTCTAATAGGTGTCTACCAAGTTTGTTCAAATAAAAGCCCTGGGGTCAAAATTGGCACCGCCCGGGGGGTCATTGATTTTCCTTATATGTGTATTAGCAAAAAACTTAAAAAATCTTCTTTGAAAAAAACCCAAATAGCTAGAGTTAAGATATTAAGCATGAAACATCTTTTAGTGAGTGTCTACAAAGTTTGTTCAAATAAAAGACCTGGGGTCAAAATTGGCCCCGCCCCGGGGGTCATTGATTTTCTTTTATATGTGTATAGCAAAAACTTAAAAATCTTCTTTGTAAAAACCCAAATAGCTAGAGTTTAGATATTAAGCATGAAACATCTTCTAGTAAGTGTCTACAAAGTTTGTTCAAATAAAAGCCCTGGGGTCAAAACTGGCCCGGCCCCCAGGGGTGTCATTGTTTTTAACTATATGTGCATAGTAAAAAAACTTAAAAAAAAAATCTTCTTTCAATAAAGCCCAATGAGCTAGAGCTTAGATGTTTAGCATGAAACATCTTCTTATGGGGTGTCTACCGAGTTTGTGCAAATAAAAGCCCTTGGGTTAAATTGGCCCTGCAACATTGGGGGGTTGGGGGTTGGGGGGGCCTATATACAGGTGAGCGACCTCAGGGCCATCATGGCCCTCTTGTTTAAGTTTGTCCGGACTACATCTCTTATACCACAAATGCAATTTCAATTGAACGACTTTACAGGATTGATCTGTTGCTCAAGTCCTGGCACATTATTGCACAAGGTTTTCCGGGGGCTTGCAAATGATTATTTTGGCAAGTTTGATGAAAAGGGTGGGTTTTTTTTTTTTCTGTGTTTGTTGCCCAGCATACATAAAAAGCTTGTCCGGACTACTCCTCAAAAACTACTGGTGCAATTTCATCCAAACTTTAAAGGAATGATTCAGTAACCAAGTCACAAAACTTGTACCCAACATGAAATGTGGCCATCATGAGGCGACACAATGTGATCACTGATTCGCCTCTTGTTTGTATTTTTTTTTAACATGATACCCTTGATTTCTTAACTAAGTTAGATAAACTTATAATAGTATGAGCCACCTTGCTCATTTGTAAATAAATCTAGGTTTTGCAATGCAAATACATGTTCATCCCAACAGATCAAAATCAAGCCAGCAATAAATAATAATTGCCTTTGGTGTTTATTTTCTTCATTTGTAGGTGGGCTTTACTAATAGATTACTGCCACTTTTACTTCAAAGTGGGGTATTTTTGGGGTATCATTCACCTTCAGTGATAGTTCTAGTTTTATCCAGTATAAACATGGTTACATGGAAATGAAAAATAAACCTTGTTTTTTTCAGTGTACTGCACCAATAAACTAAATATGGAGAGAAGCTTAGTCACCAAAAGCAGTCAACACCAAAAATACACACAATGGCCAGGGCACTGAAACTTGGAAAGAGTGAAAGAGTAAAGTAGTGCGTTTTTTTAGCTAACAAAGTGACATTGCTAGCTTTTGTCTATCTTTCGTCCGTAAACTTGATCTTTAAACAACATCTCATAAATTGCCAAGCCAATTTCATGCAAACTTACGATATTGTCTAGTCAGTTTTTGTTTTTGCTTGCAATCGTTATATGACATGACTAAAGACATTTAGTTTTATTCTTAAGTTATTATGTTTATGTTTGTATAAGACCCCAAATATATTGTTAAGATTCATTTTTACAAATTTGAAAGCCATTATTGTTCTAGTCAGTTTTTGTTTTGCTTGCAATCATTATATTACATGGCTAAAGACATTTAGTTTTAATCTTTAATAGTTATGTCTATATTTGTATAAGACCCAAAAATATTGTTAAGATTCATTTTTACAATTTTGAAAGCCATTATTGCTCTAGTTTGTTTTTGTTTTGCTTGCAATTGTTATATGACATGACTAAAGACATTTAGTTTAAATCTTTAGTTATTATGTCTATGAGGGGCGTCCGTGGCCGAGTGGTTAAGGTCATTGACTTCAAACCACTTGCCCCTCACCGCTGTGGGTTGGAATCCCGACAGGGACTTTGGATTCTTTCTTGTGAGGAAGCTATCCAGCTAGCTTAACTGAACGTCAGTGGTTCTACTCAGATACCCGTTCGTGCCTGAAATAATGCAAGGAAGGGCACCTGAACGTCACGATATGACCTTTACTGTGTTGATGTGACGTAAAAACCCAAAACAAGCAAACAAAAAATTATGTCTATGAAATTCATTGTTTGTATAAGACCCAAATATATTGTTGTGATTAATTTTAACAATTTTGAAAGCCATAATTGTATGTGTCAGATATTGTTTTGCTCACAATCATAATGTTATATGACATATGAGTTTAAATCTGAAGGTATTATGTCCATGAAATATGTTGTTTGTTTAAGACC